AGGCCAATCAAGTTCTTCCACACCGATCTCGACAAACCATTTATGTATGGACCTCGCTTTGTGCACGGGGGCATTGTCATGCTGAAACAGGAAAGGGTCTTCCCCAAACTGTTGCCACAAAGTTGGAAGGACAGAATCGTCTAGAATGTCATTGTATGCTGTAGCGTTATGATTTCTCTTTACTGGAACTAAGGGGCCTAGCCCGAACCATGAAAAACAGCCCCAGACCATTATTCCTCCTCCACCAAACTTTACAGTTGGCAGTATGCATTTGGGCAGGTAGCGTTCTCCTGGCATCCGCCAAACCCAGATTCGTCCGTCGGACTGCCAGATGGCGAAGCGTGATTCATCACACCAGAGAACGCGTTTCCGCTGCTCCAGAGTCCAATGACGGCGAGCGTTACACCACTCCAGCCACGCTTGGCATTGCGAATGGTGATCTTGTGTGCGGCTGCTTGGCCATGGAAACCCATTTCATGAAGCTCCAGACAAACAGTTATTGTGCTGACATTGCTTCCAGAGGCAGTTTGAAACTCAGTAGTGTTGCAACCGAGGATAGACGATTTTTATGCTCTTGTGTGGCCTATCACTTCGCCAGCCGCTGTTGCTCCTAGACGTTTCCACTTCAAAATAACAGCACTTACAGTTGACCGGGGCAGCTCTAGCAGGGCAGAAATTTGACTGACTGGTTGGAAACATGGCATCCTATGACGGTGCCACATTGAAAGTCACTGAGCTCTTCAGTAAGGCCATTCTACTGGCAATGTTTGTCTATGGAGATTGCATGGCTGTGTGATCGATTGTATACACCTGTCAGCAACAGGTGTGGTTGAAATAGCTGAATCCACTAATTTGAAGGGGTGTCCACATACAGTACCAGTCAAAAGTTTGGACACATCTACTCATTCAAGGGTTTTCTTTATTTTTTACTATTTTCTACATTGTACCTTGGTGGTAGCTCTGGTCCAGGGAGGTAGTGTGTTCCTCTGTCTTAGAAGAGGACTGTGCTCCTACACCCTTGACCAGAGCTACCACCAAGGTATTCCCAGCCCAGCCCATTAGATGGTATCCACACACACCTTCCTTTAATATATATTTTTTATTATTAGTAAACCCTTTTAGGCATTTAGCAACACATTGCTAACAAAATGTTTTCAGGCTTTTAAATTTATTTTTCAATCATTATGATAAGTATGAAAGCTAAATATGGCAAAATACAAGTGGAATTATTGTATACTGAACAAAAATATAAATGCAACAATTTCAAAGATTTTACTGAGTTACAGTTCATATAAGGAAATCAGTCCTATTGAAATAAATTAATTCATTGGATTGTTATTTGTCTTACAAATACCCACTTTTCCAACCGTTAAGCATTAGAACAAATGTGAGCAATGAAATAGTGATATGTGTTATAAAAATGACTTTTTAAATGGCACAGAGTAGCTGCACCACCTTCTACAAGAGAGTGCAAAATAAAAAGCTATACTGTAAAATAATTATTGCTGCAATGCAAAGGCAGCATGTGACGCAATGGCATTACAAAAACAATCAAGTTGATTCACTCAAACAGTGCAAGATGTATTGGTATGTTTGCTTCAGAAACACAGGATAGGGTTCGGTGCACAAATCAATACAAATACTTGATCTGAAAGTGCAGTTGTAGAAGTACCAGAGCTATAATAAATGTCCCTTTTTTTAATACATTGTCCTTGCTAAACACGATATAATTTCAAGTGGAAATCATTGAGGAACACTTCAAAATGCTACAAAATCATTAACATAGAACTTTTAAAGGCCTTTTGAAGAATTAATGATCAGAAATCAACACATCACAACTAAAAGTAACATATAACCACATTATAAATCTCCTCGATCCCTAGGAATTCTTGTTTGTCGCATTTTAGTAACCCTTGCCATAAAGACAATTATTGCACTGACATGGTTGTAAAAACACATTCTTGAATAATGTACTGTCTACCCTGCTATTTACACAACTCACTACTTATTAAAATGCACCATGGTCAATAAAAAATAACATGTAGAGTAAAATGGAAAGGACACAAGCCACTAAGACAACTTAACCTCAAGAGACCCACCTTGCATTCCAATTATCGGTCCACTTATTATTATTGGTGTGCACTTGTGTACTCCTCCCCACTCATTTAAAAGAATCGGATTAGATCGGTGTACAATGTATACAAAGAGAGTTTCCAACACATTTCTTAGACCAGTCATTAAATCCATGAAGGGAAGTGAACAAATACACACATTAGGAGAAAGGACAGACAATTGGGAGGCATGGTGGCCAGTTTACGACCGGTGTTAAAATGTGGCCCATTTCTGTATTTTTGGCAAGAGGGAAAGCCACTAAGAGGAAACCAAAAGGAAAGGGGAACAATTCCATTGACAACTCTGCTAGGCATTATCCCCAAATTGCCATTCAAATGGCAATAGCAATGGCTCATGAACTAACATGTGAGACTTAACATTCATGTGCTACACAGAGTAGCAATTTAAGACATCATAGTGAACATGTTGCTCATAGTGTTCTTTCGATGATTCTCTGTATTTCTGGACAGGGTGTTCCAGTTCCACTCCATATTCAAGCGACTTTTTTAATTGCTTGCGTCACAGTGGACGGAAGGAAAGGCAGCTGGCGCTGGAAAGAAGGGGCGAGGGGAACGAATGAGACCGGTCCCCAGAGTACAGCACATTATTCAGAGTGGAAAAGAGAGCACGGTTCGTTAGCGGGTCAGCATGTCAACGGAACGCAGTGCCTGGTTCTCTTCGCGTAACCTTTTCTTTAGAAATATCTAAGCTCGAAGAGTGTAGTCAAGTTCTTCCCAGAACAAGTCAAGTTTCCAGATATGGCCCTTTTTTAAATCTTAGGCCAGGTAGTAAAACTACAATGGATGTGCGAGTCAGTGCTTATTCTGTAAAAGAAAGTTGAAAAATGTTTATAGGACAATTAAAGAATTGGCAGGACCTCACAAAATCACTCTCCTGTAAAACGGTCATAAAAGAAAAACAGCAAGAGATCGAGGACGGACGGAGTTGCCAACTCACACAAGCAGTTACAATGCCATTTCAGAAACATTGAAACACAATGAATATTGTAAAAAGCCTGGCAGTATTCTCCAAGCACTCCAGGGCAATTCATTTACAGAATTCCAGCGAGTGGCTCATTTGCTCGAATATTAAAGTGTAAATGTGAGCAGTTTGAAAAGTTATCATAAATGTAAATGTAAATGTAATGTCGCACACTTACTGACTGCTAGTCTTGTTAGCACTCAAACAGGCTGGCCCTTTAAGAGACAACCACAGGGCCTTAATCATTACATTTACATTTTAGTCATTTAGCAGACGCTCTTATCCAGAGCGACTTACAGTTAGTGCATACATTATTATTTTTCATACCCCCTGTGGGAATAGAACCCACAACCCTGGCGTTGCAAACGCCATGCTCTATCAACTGAGCTACATCCCTGCCGGCCATTCCCTCCCCTACCCTGGACGACGCTGGGCCAATTGCACGCCGCCCCATGGGTCGCCTTTCAATCAGTGTAGTGGAGGGTAAACGCAAGTAAACACAGTTTACCCACCTTTTGTAGAAAAATGCATTAAAAGTATAAGGAGCGTTACATTTTTCACCGCGACCCGCGATAAGAGTTTACCTTTTTTTTTAAATCACTATATCACTGCTCTCAGTCCTCTCAAAGGACTGTCCTCTCCTTTTCAGTGGCAACAATCAACCGGCCACGTTACCATCACAAAACCCATTTTCCCTCCAAAGTGTTGAGGCTAAAACAGATGGAATGAAAGTGACAACGATATTGATGAACACAAAATTGTAACAGAGGAACAAGACACAAAATAAATAACAAGCCCATTACTCCCATTGGGGATTTTCATTACTGTAGTATCAAACGGTTTGGTAAACACCTGCCTTAGTTGGCCCTATGCTGCAAAGCACCGTGTGAGGGCCATTATAGGTCAGACTACACAAATACATTTCCCATCATGCACTTCTGACTCATCAACCTGGATCACAATGGTTAGATAGATCCATACAGGTGTTTATATTTTCAGACTGAAGTGGCACTCTTTGCAAACCGTTGGGCAAACCCGACGGAAATGTTAAAAAATGTTTTGGTACACTCCAGATTAATGAAACGGTCGTTACTTAGTGTGGTGTGATTTACTGTAGTTGATTTAGTAAGAGATCAGTATTAGTCCCTTGAGAGGTGGAGAAAGTACATCTATACAGGCCTACCTAGCAATTTTTTAAGAAAATGTAAAGGTATGTTAAACTCTTCAAAAATAACCTCCATATTGTCTCTTGTTACAAAATAGACCCTGTAGCCATTGCAAGAAAAGAATCACAGCATTCTGTAAACCCGATGATGCCAGGACCCGTGTAGAGGTTTACGAGATCGAAATAGAAATACAATCTGTGTTAACGTTCTTCTTCTTTTCAGAAGTATTACAAGACCTATAAAAAAAGACAGGCAGGGAGGGGAGCTCTTATAACTTTGGGAAATCGTTGCTGTGGCTTTGGACCACTATATTTAGACATTTTACGCTGAAAACCTTTGAGGATGCATCTCATATGGCACCCTACACAGCAAGAGAGGGGGGTGAGACTGCCATTGACCTTCTTGGGGAACCTAAAGGCAAAATACTAAAGGCTGTGGACTTTGGTTGAACCTTTTGGGGTCTGGGTAGGGAGACAGGAAACACAAACATACAGCTTCACAATAACCAAGCCGAAGCTAGCTGCAAAGGACAATGAGATATGGTCAAAATGTCAGGCAATATCCCAGTGAATTTCAATGTGCTTGCTCTTTAGAGTGCAGGATTAAGATGGAGGTGTCAGTGGTTCCCGACGGAGGAGTGGTATTTGGTTGGAGGGACTATGGAGGCTGTAAGCAAAGAAAGGTCATGGCATCAGGGGTTAAGGGTCAGGATGGGACTAAGATCAGGGTTCACTGGCAGCATCAGCAGCAGGTCCGGGTCTCCGAGGGCTGGCGGCGCAGTTTGAAGCCCTTCCCTGCAGCCCCTCCTCCTGCATCTAGGACAGGGATCTGTTGAACTGTAGGGGAGAACAAAATGTGCAGGGGGGACGAAAAAACAATGTTACACCCAGAGACCATTGGTTAAAAGGAACGTGCAGCAGAAGCTCAACTCAACTCAATTTAAAAACACACAAGAGGTGAATTTAAACCATTGTACACCACTAGTAATACACTGGTATCCCACAAAGCATAAATTAGGCCCAAAGGATGGGAGGACACCAAAACATAGTGAAAAAACACACTTACTTATCTCTATAAAGACCTCATGGATGTTAATGGCGTTCTTGGCGCTGGTCTCCACAAAGATGGCATTGATGGAGTCTGCATAGTCCTTGGCATCCTTCTCCAAGACCTCCCTGTAAAGAGTGTTCAAGTCTTAAAACGGGGTGCATCTCAATTATGGAGAGAGGTGTAGTCTCCCTATCTTCTCGCCTGCATCTGCACTGATCTGAAAACACAGGATAGGCCAAAGCAATATGGCGGACATAAGCCAAGAAATCGTTGTTGCCTGTCCAGTTGTTTCACATCAGCGCAGATGAAAATGAGGAGGCACAAGGACACACCCCTTAAAACAATGAGACAGACCGGACCCAAACGGGAGATGAGCGCAAAAGAAGAGAGAAAGGGACCCAAGCCAGCAGCTCCCCACTAGGGCTGGCACAATTACAGTATAACCGTGTAACCAACGTTTATGGATGTAGACCGTCATGAAAATAAAATAACCGACATAACCGTAAAAAATAAAATAAATACGTGGAACGAACAGCTGGCTGAAGATGGGACAATAGCTACTTTTCTATTAGAATGTTCTTTTTAAGTAACACTGCAGACTCCATAACCCCTGAGGGGGCATTGACTGAGTGGTCTGTTCTGACAAAGCTCTTAAAAGAAAAGGAGAAAAAAAATTCCTTGAAAGGACTCGACCTCAATGTGTAATTATCCTACTGTTTTTACCAAACAAATGTCAATGGGCATTTGGGCGGTTGAGTCCATTTCTGCGGTAACAGGGACTCTTAACAACGTGATGAAACGTAGCTCCTTACTGAAACGAGCAAGGGCTTGTATTATGCCATCATTGATTTGAATGGGGATGCCTATTCTATTCATTATATTCTTATGGCAGTCAGGAGCAGAGGAGAGGAAAACCAACCACGTGGCGGACACCAACGTCTTGCTCCCGGACAAGCTAAACAACTTATTCGCGGGCCGCTCCCGAGGACTGTGAGCTCTCGTTCTCCGTGGCCGACATGAGTAAGACATTTAACACTCGAAAGGCCAAGACGGCATCCCTAGCCGTGTCCTCAGAGCATTCGTAGATCAGCTGGCTGGAGTGATTACGGACATATTCAATCTCTCCCTATCCCAGTCTGCTGTCCCCACTTGCTTCAAGATGTCCACCATTGTTCCTGTACCCAAGAAAACAAAAGGTTACTGAAGTAAATGACTATCGCCCCGTAGCACTCACTTCTGTCATCATGAAGTGCTTTGAGAGGCTAGTTAAGGATCATATCACCTCCACCTTACCCGACACCCACTGAAATTTGCATACTGCCCCAATAGATCCACTGATGATGCAATCGCCTTGCACTGCACACTGCCCTATCCCATCTGGACAAGAGGAATACCTATGTAAGAATGCTGTTAATTGACTACAGCTCAGCCTTCTACATCATTGTATCCTCCAAACTCATCACTAAGCTCGGGGCCCTGGGTCTGAACCCCGCCCTGTGCAACTGGGTCCTGGAATTCCTGACCGGCCGCCCCCAGGTGGTCAACGTAGGCAACAACACCTCCACTACACTGATCCTCAACACAGGGGCCCCACAAGGGTGTGTACTCCCTGTTCACCCATGACTGCATGACCACGCACGCCTTCAATTCAATCATCAGGTTTGCAGACGACACAACAGTGTTAGGCCTGATTACCAACAATGACGAGACAGCCTACAGGGAGGTGGTGAGGGCCCTGCCGGAATGGTGCCAGGAAAATAACCTCTCCCTCACCGTCAACAAAATGAAGGAGCTGATCGTGGATTTCAGATGACAGCAGAGGGAGCACGCCCCCCCATCCACATCGATGGGGCCACAGTGGAGAAGGTGAAAAGCTTCAAGTTCCTCGACATACACATCTCCGAAAAGGTCCACCCACACAGACAGTGTGGTGAAGAAGGTGCAACAGTGCCTCTTCAACCTCAGGAGGCTGAAGAAATTCAGCTTGGCCCCTAAGACCCTCACAAAGTCTTACAGATGCACCATTGAAAGCATCCTGTCGGGCTGTATCATCGCCTGGTACGGCAACTGCAGGGCTCTCCAGAGGTTGGTGCGGTCTGCCCAACGCATCACCGGGGGCACACTGCCTGCCCTCCAGGACATCTACAGCACCCGGTGTCACAGGAAGGCCAAGAAGATCATCAAAGGACCTCAGCCACCCGAGCCACGGCCTGTTCATCCTGCTATCATCCAGAAGGCGAAGTCAGTACAGGTGCAATAAAAAAGCTTGGACCGAGTGACTGAAAAACAGCTTCTATCTCAAGGCCATCACTAGCCGGCCTCCACTCAGTACCCTGCCCTGAACTTAGTCACTGTCACTAGCCGGCTACCACCCGGTTACTCAACCCTGCACCTTAGAGGCTGCTGCCCTAAGTTAGATAGACATGGAACTAGGGCTGGGCGATTTGGCCAAAATATCATATTACGGTATTTAAAAAAAAATTTTTTTTGACGGTATGACAGTATTTTATGTTTTTGAATAATAAAAGTTCAACATTTGCTTTATGAGCAGTGCGTGACCCTAAGGTGGCAACGCATACATTCTAAGTGATTTCAATGGGTCTTTCTCTATTCTGATTGCTTTATACTGTTCAGTTCAACCTAAACTTATTTTCTGCATTTCCTGCACTCATTTCAGATCATTTCCACACATGGCTGCACGATATGGGCAAACAATCTAGGCCTTATGTTTACCAAATGTTGTAATTGCAATTTGACTTGTGATTTAGAGCAACAAAAAAAAATCCATTGAACATGCCATACTAATAAAGGCATTTTAATTAATTATATGAAGAGTGCCTTGGTCCTCCTTTCTTTTTGATGACCAATTCACCCCTTTGACCAAAGAACACCTTCTGTCTACCAAAATCTACTATTGTGTGCCTTAGTAGCGCTTCCCTTCCTCCTCTTTCTACTTGGGTGAACTGTTGGAATCATGGAAATAGAATGATTATTGAAATTCTATGGTTAGAATATAATAGTGGGCACTTTGAATACAGTTTGACATGACAACAAATGAAAATGCCAGGGAGGAGTTATTGTGACAGGGAAGGAACCAAAGTGTTGACAAGTGTTTCCTAGGGGACCCTATAATCTTTGGCTACATTGAAAATTCTCTTAGCTACTTAATGTAGCTGACATTCTTGCTTCACATATTCCTCTTTGATTTAGAAGATACTGTTGCACAAAAAACATTAAGATGTAGATCTACAACGTCACTGGTATTATCAGGCTGTATAACGTTAGCTCTGACACAGTACATGTATTAGCTAGCTAGCGATTAGCATTAGCAGCTAACAAGATTTAGGCCCAACTTACTAAGAAAAGACAAACTAGCAGTTTGCAGATGTAAGAAAAAAAATGAATAGTGTAATTATATTAAGAAGCAGGGACGGCCTGTTCAATAGGGCGATATGGGCGACGCACTGCCAAACGGGAAAAGGAAGGGATTTTTTTTCTAATCAATTATATCACGGCAACAGTAGTTATCAGTGTTGTAATCTGATCTGACTGCCACTAAATGTCAAATCAGGCTAAAGTCGTGCTTCAAATGGCCCCGCCCGTTTTTGGGCGATTTCAGTCAGGTTGAAAATCGCCCAGAAGTCTCTCATAGCCTGTCATGTAAAATCTATTTTTTTCAAATTTCAAAGCTTTCAATACATTCTCTATGGGTGTCTGTGGGCTTGCACTTACGCGCTTTCGTCATACGTGACGTAACCATGAACGTAACTAAGCAAATAGCGGCTAGCAGCGTCTCTTTGCGACCTGCAGTGTGGCGTTATTTTATGTTTTTAATTTGTACACTTAGTGGCGTTATTTTATGTTTTTAATTTGTACACTTAGTTTACAAACATTCTGCCAACCATGGATTTCGAGTGGTGGGTTTTGGACTGATCTTGTTGATCGTGTACATACCCGCTACGAACGGACTAAATAATGAAAACGTTGCTGGCAGCGGAATCCAATACAGCTGGGAGACTTGGCTGGATGACAGAGTCCCGGACAGAGAAGTGGAGCCGGCCGGCTTCACCCTGGTCGGAGCGGACCTCGATCTGACAGTCACAGGGAAAATCGATCCTGGTAAGAGAGCGACTCTGTACCCCCGAGCCCCGACATTGAACTGCTTTCTGTGTCACTGTGACCTTACTATCTGCCCCGTGAGTTCCCCCAATTGTTTGTTACCGTTGTGTACTGTTGATAATCACAAGTTTACTGGAGAACTGAGACCAAGTAGAGACTTTGGACAGGGTGGATATGCACAAGATTTTAGTCAGACCAAGCTATAACATTATATATTTACTACGACAGTACATTCAACCAAAAGCTAATATAACAAAGGCATCAGAGATTATTTATAATCTGTCACAGAAACTGGAATCCATCTCCCCAGATCAGTCAATAAATGCTTCTGGTATTGACTTATATGCTGCCCCTGTCTTCATGTTGTTGCTGGACATATCTTTTTTAAAACTAGTTAATTGCATCTGCCATGGAGCCCAGTTTCAGAATATCACCATATGTCCCAGCTGCTTGCCGTAGTTTTGAAATAAGCACCAAAAAACTGGCCTTATTTTAGGGCATTTTTCACCCTGCCAGCTCCTATTAGTTCTATTAAGCACCGTGGCACCAACTCGCCTTACGAACGTTCTATTCCCAGCCCATTCTTCTGCGTCACAATGCCAGCGTCATAGTAAGTTTACAATGAAGGTAACTTATTATTCGATTACAGCAACTTGGTGAGCGATCTCACTGTTCGCCTTGGTACACGTTGTGGTGACTCACAGTGCTAGAGTTGGCTGGCGCATAGCCATCAAACGTTAAACATTTTCTGGTCATGGTTAACCATCTTTTTTTTTCCTCCAGAAAAAGGTGTAAAACCTAAACAAAACGCATGTCCCTGTCCTCTTTTTCAAGATGTGGACAATTTAAACAGCCAGAAGACATTTTTTAAATCAGAGAGGCAACAAAGAGACCAAAGATAACCCTGAAGGAGCTGCAAAGCTCCACAGCAGAGATTGGAGTATCTGTCCATAGGACCACTTTAAGCCGTACACTCCACAGAGCTGGGCTTTACGGAAGAGTGGCCAGAAGCCATTGCTTAAAGAAAAAAAATAAGTAAACATGTTTGGTGTTTGCCAAAAGGCATGTGGGAGACTCCCCAAACATCTAGAAGAAGGTACTCTGGTCAGATGAGACTAAAATTGAGCTTTTTGGCCATCAAGGAAAACGCTATGTCTGGCGCAAACCCAACACCTCTCAACACCCCGAGAACACCATCCCCACAGTGAAGCATGGTGGTGGCAGCATCATGCTGTGGGGATGTTTTTCATCGGCAGGGACTGGGAAACTGGTCAGAAATGAAGGAATGATGGATGGTGCTAAATACAGCGAAATTCTTGAGGGAAACCTGTTTCAGTCTTCCAGAGATTTGAGACTGAGACGGAGGTTCACCTTCCAGCAGGACAATGACCCTAAGCATACTGATAAAGCAACACTCAAGTGGTTTAACTGGAAACATTTAAATGTCTTGGAATGACCTAGTCAAAGCCCAGACCTCAATCCAATTGAGAATCTGTGGTATGACTTAAAGATTGCTGTACACCAGCGGAACCCATCCAACTTGAAGGAGCTGGAGCAGTTTTGCCTTGAAGAAGGGGCAAAAATCCCAGTGGCTAGATGTGCCAAGCTTATAGAGACATACCCCAAGAGACTTGCAGCTGTAGTTGCTGCAAAAGGTGGCTCTACATAGTATTGACTTTGGGGGGGGGTGAATAGTTATGCACGCTCAAGTTCTGTTTTTTTGTCTTATTTCTTGTTTGTTTCACAATAAAAAATGTTTTGCATCTTCAAAGTGGTAGGCATGTTGTGTAAATGAAATTATACAAACCCCCCAAAAATCCATTTTAATTCCAGGTTGAAAAGGCAACAAAATAGGAAAAATGCCAAGGGGGGTGAATACTTTCGCAAGCCACTGTAAGTGCTTAGTGAGTCAATAATGACTAACACTAATGGATGGACAGTAGATGGGAGAGATGTAATGGATTTTGAAGCATTAGTTCTCTCCACTGCTCCAATGCAATTAGCCTACTCTAGTAGTTAAAGTCCTCTCATCTAAGCGAGCATGTTTGAGTGACATTACATACATATCCCCCAGTGTATCGCCAACAGAGAGCTGCATCGGCCGGCAGTTACCGTTCAACGGTATGTTCACATTGTTGGAGCCAAAAGTTTGAAGATACACGCTTGGCTCAGCCGTTGAAGTCCCTTGCCAAACAAAGCGTTGGCGAGTCATTTAATCTTCATTAGAAAATGTAGCACAAGCAAATCTCATGTCAACGATTCTGTGATTCGTCTGGTAAAATTACTGTGTGGCGGCCATGCTGCTGACTTGTACAAATAAGCCAATAGCTTTGTCCCAAATGGCACCCTATTTACTATATTGTGCACTACTTTTGACCAGGGCCCTGGTCAAAGGTAGTGCATTATATAGGGAATAGGGTGGCATTTGGGATGAAACCCATGTCTTCCTAGGGGACTTGAGGGATTTATTTACCTGGCATCGGACAGGTCACACTTGTTGCCAGCGATGGCTACCACGATGTTGGGAGGGCCGTGCTGGCGAAGCTCCTTCACCCAGTTCTTCAATGTCTGGAACGAGTCCTGAGAAACACGGTTCAAGCCATTATTAATAATAAATCATGTATTCAACATTTATAGCGCTATTCATTACATAAAGAATTTCAAAGCGCTTTAAAGCAACATAAAATTACATGCAATTTAGAAAAAACAACATCACAACATGGACAGTCATTAGAAAGTTCATGGAGTGGTCAACTGAGGGAGGTGGTCAAGCGGGGAGAGAAAGTCCAGGGGCAGGCAGGTAGCACGCTCTCATCAAGGTGTCTCGCCGTCTCTGGCTTTTCCATAGTAGGAATCAGGTGAAGTTTGAGCTTAGCCACTGGCACTGCAGTCCATGGACTCCATAGTTGGTAGCTAGCTGCTCCTTCACTACTGCCAAAATGAAGCAACTTGGATGATGCTATGGCAGTCACGTGGCTCCAGAAAGCACACAACATTTCAGTAATAATTCAAGAGTAGCCTCACCGCACCGATCTGCCGTCTTGCTTTCGGACTTCTCTCCATCCTCAACCTCCGGACACTAGCTTGCATTCGAATCAAAACAATTGCCAGGTAATGTTAGCTTACTTGCTAGCTAGCTAGCCAAACAAAGAAATGACTAGCCAACTTCACCTTCAGTCTTAACGCCGTGGTTGATTCTGATGATATGAATTAGTTAAATTAATTGTTAATTCTTAAAACAAAAAGATTGTACAGAAAAAATGCCTTAATTACAACAATATTTACAAAATGTACAGGAGCTGTTTATGCTGCTACTAAGGTGCCATGGCAACTATATACTATAATGTTATTAACACATATACATATATATATATATAGAAACATCTTACATTGTTAGATATTTTAGTTTGAGATAATGTTATGCAACGCATGACTGTGTGGGCATGTGTGATTTAAACAGGCATGAAACATAGGAGATGTGAACAGGACATGTGGACACATGAGTACGCCTCTCCACATGGAATGCGAGAGTGGACAGTATATGTTTACTGGACATGCCTATATTTGAGTGACCAGTTGGCCCCCATAGTTGCCTACAGTAGACATACAAACTGTATGGCGTGCATGGATACCTACGTTTTGCAAAGGTCAATCTATTTGGAGCTTTTTTTCTGCAGTCATATATTTAAGAAGAAAAGGTCCTAAGAAAACCTGCCCCTATGATGTCATCGGGGGTCATAAAAAACACATTTTAAAAACAGAGTTTCTCAGTGACGGAGAGAGCTGACTCTTAGTTTTTGAAAATCACTGATTTATTTAGCAAATTACTCCTGATGACATAGGAATGGCATTGAAAAAAGGTGGCACAGTGTCCCTTTAAACATTTGAGGAAAAAAACAAAATGTCATGTCACACCATGTTACCGGAAGGAAACGAGAGGGGATACTGTACCTCTTTAGTGATGTCATAAACAATGATGGCTGCCGCAGAGCCTCTGTAGTACATTGGCGCCAACGCACGGAACTATGGGAAAGCAGAGATAGAAGTGGAGATATAGCATAGTGAGTAATGGGCTGCAATCATTCTTCAAAGAAAGAGGCTGTCCCTCTGGACAGAGAAGATCATTTATTTTCTAAAGCCTCCAACAGGACTTTATGTACAGCCAAACCGGTTACACTGATATAGTGAGGTCAAGGGCCATGTATGCATATGTAGTACTGTATATCATGATTAAAGTAAGATAAACTTAAAAGAAAAGGTTACTGACATTTTTTTACTCATCTTTGAGGATCGCGTATCTAGCTTGCAATTGTTTATGAGAAAATCAAGGCTACCAAAATAGCATCGCAATCACTACTACCGCCTGTTTCCAAAACATTACATTCACAGAGTACCCAATCTAGAAGCCTTATACGGTTCCATTTTGTCACCGTTATATGACTTACACCACTTTCCATTTCATCCAACAGGGTCTTTGAGAGAAAACATCAACTCAAAGGGGTAAAGCTAAGCAAAGAGAAACTAAGGACCTTTTTGAAAAAACAAAAAGGCCTTGTGTTCCAAGCCTATATGCCAAGTGGCTTTTGTTACCTGGAAGTATGGCAAGGCTTTCCACTGAGGACTCACATGTGGTAGCCATCAGGAGAAAGATGAGCACAAGGTGTCAAAAGCAGTTAGCCATTTAATATTTATGGAGAACTATCCATTTGGTCTTCACCCAGTAGACCAGAAAACCCTGCGTAATAAAAACAAGCTGAAGCTACATTATTTCCCATTCCATCGTTGAAAAAAATAAAGTTGCTTGAAGTTTCTGTTCTCTGTATTTCTTCTGGTATAATATTTTCCAAAAGCTTATGAGTTCTGGTTTGAAAATGCCAGTGCAATTAGCAAATACCTGTTTTCATAAAACTCTAAATCAAATGCCTACAAAAGGTCTCGTGATTTTTTTTGATTAAAGGAATAGTTCGCCTAGATTACATTGGCCTATTGGACGCCAGGTAGCCTAGCGGTTAGAGCATTGGGCCAAGAACCGAAAGGTCGCTGGTTCGAATACCTGAGCCGACAAGGTGGAAAAATCTGTCAATGTGCTCTTGAGCAACGCACTTAGCCCTAATTTGCGCCAGGGTTGCCGTACTACTATGGCTGACCCTGTAAAACAGCACGTCACTGCACCTATCCGGTGTATGTGACAATAAAACATTTATTTATTTATTTTTATTATTTTCCTGTAAACAGTCTTTGGACTAGGCGAGACAGCGATTCATACTTTGGTTTAATTTACCTGGCTGCTGTCACTAAATGCTTACCTTACCATGCTTGCCCAAAAAATCAATTTCCCCAAATTAGCATGTTATAGACTAAATTACCTGCACAAAGTATCTTCCTTCACAATAACTTTCAGACACTAGGCTACGTTTACACAGGCAGCCCAATTCTGATCTTGTGCCCAATTATTGGCAAAACATCTGAACTGATTGGTCAAAAGACCAATTAGTGGCAAAAATATCAGAATTGTCCTGTCTGTGTAAACGCAGCCTTTGGGCATGAGATTTAAATTTGGGTGGAAATGCTGCAATGTTTCAGGTAACATGCAATCTTCCAAAATAGGTGAATTCTCAAGTATTTGCTATTGTTGAAAAGGCATGCCGTATATGCTTAATTTGGTATGATTGTAATAATTTATACTGACAAGTAACAATGAGTGACATTCAGACCATCAACTGTATGAGGCACAAAAGAAAGCTGCAACAGAGACAAGTGAAAGGTAACGCACCTGTCATTAGTTAGACTACCATTTAGGCTAGGTCCTTCTACATTTTAGGATAATATTCAGCACAACTCTTCGAACATAATTAGCATATTTAACCATGATGGGAAAAATAATCAAGCATGCCACGTAATAGTTAATGAAATAAAGAGATTAGCTTTAAAACAAACAGGAGCGATCCCAGTCAAACGTTGACATGGAACGACCCGGCCTTTCCCACCAATTCCCATTTTCCATTACGATAAAAAGGAATAAACTATCCCGGCTTGGAATCACACAGTTACTTCAGGAAAAGCACACATTCCGTGCAATTACAGTTGTTACTGGCCCCGAGACTACCGGAGGGAGTCCAACTTGGGATATTTGGCAGACGGCGGGAACGGGATGCTGCCTGTCTGCTAGCTGCAGTACAGCCAGTACCTGACAGCACAGCCAGTCTTGTGTGGTCCCTCTCGAAAGTGTGCCCTGGGAGCATTTCGCAGCGAGGGCTAGACCAGACATCTGGCCACACCAGAGCTGTAAAAAAGCGCCCCTTATTTTGCTAAGCGTGTGCAGGTTAATTACTGAAATTATGAGCCTGGCACCCAATGAAAGGTGTCTGTCCGTGCCAGGGAATGCAGAGATTGTGTAGTAGCCTAATCACAGCTCTCTCTCATTCCATCTCCATCTGCTTCTCCTAAATCTCTCAACCAAACTCCACTACTGTTAATTATACCAACTGGTTCTCAAGAAGCGATCAGCTTAGAAATACAGTGGCTGCAACTTACAATGAAGGAAAACAACAGCCCGCTGCCAGAAATGTTGCTACCTTCTCGCTCACAGCTGTGGAACACTCAGTAGCCTGGGAGAGACGGAGTGAGTGTGTGTGAGAGAAAGAGTCCCAATGTGTTCCCTACCCCTTCCTCTTGGCCCTACCCTTTGAAGACTGTAGCTCTGTAAGCCTAAGCAATATGGTGTAGGCTCTACCACTACCCTGAATAGACCTATCCGGAGAGAGAAAGAGTGCGAGAGAGAAAGAGAAGCTGGCAGGGACAGTGGCAGTGGATCAGTCGGGACTGGGGAGCAGGCAGAGACAGCTCGGGTTTCATCTGTCTGTCTTATCTTAAACAAAGCTTCATTCATTTTACCTCAAGGCCATGGCCCCGGGCAAGCTCAGAGAACAGAAGACAAAAGCTGTTTTATCTCACCACTCTCCAGAGGACAACAGAGGGGAATAGACCATTGTACTAGCAGGAGATTGCACGAGTAGAAGAAAGGGAAGGGCACACACAAAATAATAACAGGACAGGATTACGAGGGGTACTGTATAAAGCCTACAATTAGCCTGGTCCCAGATCTGTTTGTGCGGTCTTGACAACAAATTTGCCTCCAGGACCCATAAAGTCTGCCATGATGGATTTTCCGCCATTTAGAATTTTGTGAAAAACACTTAAATGACATCTCCTCCGTAACCACTGGGACGATCTGGGTGAACCTTGACATATGGCATCTATATTTTCCAGACAAGTATGTCAAAAAACATGGCCGCTACTGACCAATAAACATTCAATGTGGGCGTGGTCTGGCACCTTAATGCATATAAATCAGACACGGATATTCATATTGTAACCAAACTTGGTACACATGTTCCAAACACTGTCAAGACTCAACTTATGCAAGCACATTCAGATCGACCACACAGTGGCGCTATAACCGGCACGTTTATATCTCTTGATCTGTTTGACTCAGAGTGATGAAATTCGGCACACATGCTAAGGGATATGAGTCTGTAAAGTATGGATGAGCTTGGTCCGCATGGGGGTACTGTTGGACAGAACAAAGCATTCATGCAAGCTCATTGGCTTATTGAGGCCATATTGTTTGAGCAAGAGTCTTGAAGATGTGCATCCATAGATACTATATACCAAATTGGATGCTGATCGGTCTAGAGGTTCTGGAGAAGAAGTCGTTTAAAGAAGTCAACATCATTGAAAATAATCCAAAATATGCACATTGGATGACATGTTTAATTTTGAGTTGTGATATAAGGAGTACCGAAGTAGCTCCTCCTGTGTCCAATTTGTCCTGATGGTGGCACAGTGGGCCCACAGCTTGAATCCCGCCATTGCTGCTTGCAGCTATATTTATTATACTTATTTTATAAATCCTTAGCCCTTCTCTGAAGGCATAGAAGGCCCTCATTGTTCCCCACGGTTAGTAATAATTTGTAGAGCGGCTCTATTTGCCTTCAGCATGCATTTTCTTCACCATTCTGAATGTCTAAAGAATCCATATGTTCTTCTGAAATATGAACACAGAAATACTGGACATTATGAACTCTTATTATGGTGGCGATTTGACAAAATTACAATCATGGTCTTGAATTGGACTTGAATTTTTTCTGTCCTCGTTCTCAAACCCCTCGTTCCCCTCCCAGTCTCGGTCTTGACTCAGTCTTGTCTCACCCACAAGATTTTTGGTCACTGGACTACACACAATACCCCATAATGTCAAAGAGGAATTACGTTTTTAGACATTTTTACAAATTAATTAAAAATGAAAAGCTGAAATGTCTTGAGTCAATAAGTATTCAAACTCTTTGTTATTGCAAGCCTAAATAAGTTCAGGAGTAAATATTTGCTTAACAAGTCACATAATGAGTTGCATGGACTCACTCTGCACCTATTGGTAGATGGGCAAACATTTTCTAAAAGCAGACATTGAATATCCCTTTGAGCATGGTGAAGTTATTAATTACACTTTGGATGGTGTATCAATACACCCAGTCACTACAAAGATACAGGCGTCTTTCCTAACTCAGTTGCAGGAGAGGAAGGAAACCGCTCAGGGATTTCACCATGAGGCCAATGGTGACTTTAAAACAGTTACAGTTTAATGGCTGTGAAAGGAGAAAACTGAAGATGGATCAACAACATTGTAGTTACTCCACAATACTAACCTAATTGACAGAGTGAAAAGAAGGAAGCCTGTGCAGAATACAAATATTCCAAAACATGCATCCTGTTTGCAACAAGGCACTACAGTAATACTGCAAAATATGTGGCAAACAATTAACTTTTTGTCCTGAATACAAAGTGTTATGTTTGGGGCAAATCCAATGCAACTCAGTATATTACTCAGTACCACTCTCCATATTTTCAAGCATAGTGGTGCCTGCATCATGTTATGGTATGCTTGTAATCGTTAAGTACTGGGAAGTTTTTCAGGATAAAAAAGAAACTGAAATCCTAGAGGAAAACCTGGTTCAGTCTGCTTTCCACCAGACACTGGGAGATTAATTCACCTTTTAGCAGGACAATAACCTAAAACACAAGGCCAAATCTACACAAAAGTTGTTTACCAAGAAGACAGGGCATGTTCCTGAGTGGCCGAGTTACAGTTTTGAAAATAATAATGGGCAAATGTTACACAATCCAGGTGTGGAAAACTCTTTGGAGACTTACCCAGAAAGACTCACAGCTGTAATCACTGCTAAAGGTGCTTCTACAATGTATTGACTCAGGGGTTTGAATACTAATGTAAATGAGAGATTTCATTTTCAATACACTTTCTCAAATTTCTAAAACCATGTTTTAACTTTGTCATTATGGGGTATTGTGTGTAGATGGGTGAGAAAAAAATATATTTAATCAATTTTGAATTCAGGCTGTAACACAACAAAATGTGGAATAAGTCAAGGGGAATGAATACTTTCTGAAGTATCGTGAGAATCGCAATACATATCGTATGAGCACCTAAATATCATAATGTATCGTGAGGTCTCTGGCAATTCCAAGCCCTACTAATGTACAACAGATTTGGAGTGTTTTTATTCGTGTTTTATTAGCATAAATGCTTGCTGTTTCTATATGCGTATCACATTACTCATATACTGTATCATTTGAAAGATAATCTATTTTAGTCATGCCGTCTGTCTGCGTGGGCTACAAAGCATTCCAGATTTAGCACCACATAGCGTCGTAGACAAACATCACAGCAGATCGTGTTGCAAGCGGCCCCTTAGAGTCTCGCCTGCCATGTTATGACTGCTGAAGAGCCACTCGTCTTGACAGTTCAATGAACAATGCACATAGAAGGTATGCTTTAGCATAATGTGAACTGCGCTCCTTTGATGCAGCACACATAGCTATAAATTCAAGTTTGTGTGTGTGTGTGTGTGGTGGTGTGTGTGTGTGTGTGTGTGACAGAGAGAAAGGAGAGAGAGATAAAGAGAATGGAGAGAGAGACAGGATAGATGAGAAGTTGCTAGAACATGACAGACGCATTTATGTCGTCTAGTAAACTAAACAGACAGCAGTGGTCTTGAGAGTGCACAAACCACGATAGCATAACCTGCCACACAACTACAGGAAAGGGCATCATTAAATGACTGCAGCAATGAGAGAGCCAGGGATGTTTTGGTGTGGGCAGCTAAATGTTTTTTTTTAAATGTAATTAATAAAGCACATAAAGGCTTCATACTTCATAAAGCTCATGATAACTGAGTAAGTCAGTGAGAGCAATGATTCCAATATGTTGATCTCACCCATCATGTGAGATCTGTAATTAGACTAGCTCAAGGAAGGGAGGAAGGAAGGATGCATTTTTATTCAAACATGGCCTATGTCGTAGTCTAATAAGGACCACTTCATTTGGAGCAAAGATATTGTAGAATATGGAAGGGAGATATGATAACTAACCCTCTCTTGCCCTGCCGTGTCCCAGATGAGGAATTTGTGCAGCTCATTTTGATACTGCACCGTCTTTGTCATGAAGGATGCCCTGGAAAATAGAAATACAACCATACCGTGTGAGTCACATTTAAAGAGCATGTTAACATGGCATACAATTAGGCTCACCACTTTACCCCATCACAAGATCAGAAGTGATACATTGATTACCCTGTGATAAATTGATTAGCCTGATCCCAGATCTGTTTGTGCTATCATAACGACTCCTTGCCACACACTGTCATCCGTTGGCATGATAGCACAAACAGATCTTAGACCAGGCTATAAATTTATTCGACTGGGATGACATCACTGAGAATGCAGCATGACCACAACCCCCCCCCCCCCCCAGACTGTATAAATATTGTCTGACTTATTCAAATGAGACAATGTAGTGACCCCCCCCCCCCCATCTCGCCGTGATATTTACAGTGTGTGAAGGACTGCAATAACTTACCCAATAGTTGGATTAATCTTGGGGTCAAAGCTGTCCTCCACAAACCTCCAAACAATGCTTGACTTTCCAACCCCAGTGTCCTGAAGAATAACAACAGGACCGAGTTAGAATTCATCCAAGAATCCACCCATACTTGTTTTACTGCCAAGACCACACAGACCATTACGTTTTCATCAGGATGCCATCATTATGTGAAGAGAATATGCCATTGGTTGAACAAACAAAATATTCCTGCCACTATGCTGCAAAGATTGAGCAACGCCTGTGCAATACATAAAAATGTAATATGATCAACATTAGCCTAAACTACTATTGATGAGGAAAATAGACATGAAAAAGTGTTGCAACTGTACATGCAGGTCGTTTTTGTCAGTATTGTATTGGTTTCACGTTAGGAGTCTATTTTGACAGAATGAATTGAAATATTTCATGACTTCTTCTGGAACATAATAAAAGTAAAGCCTTTATTTGAGACACTTCAGTCAGTTTCAAAGTAAAGTGAGTTCAATTTAGCTAGTGCACAAAACTTTTAGCAAGCAAGCTGGAGGCTTCTGTCACTTGTCACTTGACATACTGTAATCTCAGTTCCCCAAAAGTAAAATTACCTTGCGAAGGTTTGTAAATTCCTGTTTTACTACTGGGGGGGGGAATAGTAATGGTGTCCTTTTGTAGGCACTAACTCTTATGGTTCATTGGACAAAGCCTATGGGACATTAATGGCATTTTTGCTTAGGAGATCTTATACATTTTGTTCCATTAGATAATCTTCATCAGCTAACTTCACAGGGTTGTGGGTTCGTTTCCCACGGGGGGCCAGTATGAAAATGTATGCACTCACTAACTGTGTAATAAATAAAGCACATAAAGGCTTCATAATTCATAAAGGTCATGTTAACTGACTGATATTATCTTATAGAACAAAACGTATAAGATCTCCTAAGCCTGTGTTCACCTCAGACCTTATTTTCGGTGTTTAACCCCAAACCCTATTCTTTCCCCATAAATGTTCCGCATTATAATGGCTAAATGAACCAGAGGTAAGTTGTTTCCAGTTTTTAGGACTACAAGCTGAAGAGCTCTATTATGTTTACCTTTGTGCAAAGGAAGGAAGCAAAGTCTCCTCCCTCGCAAACGGTAACTCTCGGCCAAACCCTTCCCATCCACTAATTTCACCCATGTTTATCATGGCCAAAAAGCACATTTTTGTTTTCATTAATTTTTATGATACATCCCATTTTGACTTTTGGCTTATGTTAGTTTATGATCCACCCCACAGGAGGCTGCTGAGGGGAGGACAGCTCATAATAATTGGCTGGAATAGCGTGAATGGAATGGCATCAAACATATGGAAACCATGTGTTGGAGGAATTTGATAGGATTCCACTCCAGCCATTACCACAAGCACCTCCTCCCCAATTAAGGTGCCACCAACCTCATGTGATCCACACACGCGCTTGAAAATCACCACACCAGTTTAAGCACCGCCTTAAAACCCCACTGAAGAAGAAGAAGAAGCACCGCCTTCAACCAATCATGATTACAGTCGTGGTCAAAAGTTGAGAATGACACAAATACTAATTTTCACAAAGTCTGCTGCCTCAGTTTTTATGATGGCAATTTGCATATACTCCAGAATGTCATGAAGAGTGATCAGATGAATTGCAATTAATTGGATCATCAAGAACTTCAAGGAGAGAGGTTCAATTGTTGTGAAGGAGGCTTCAGGGCGCCCAAGAAAGTCCAGCAAGCGCCAGGACCGTCTCCTAAAGTTGATTCAGCTGCGGGATCGGGGCACCACCAGTGCAGAGCTTGCTCAGGAATGGCAGCAGGCAGGTGTGAGTGCATCTGCACGCACAGTGAGGCGAAGACTTTTGGAGGATGGCCTGGTGTCAAGAAGGGCAGCAAAGAAGCCACTTCTCTCCAGGAAAAACATCAGGGACAGACTGATATTCTGCAAAAGGTACAGGGATTGGACTGCTGAGGACTGGGGTAAAGTCATTTTCTCAGATGAATCCCCTTTCCGATTGTTTGGGCATCCGGACAAAACCTTGTCCGGAGAAGACAAGGTACGCGCTACCATCAGTCCTGTGTCATGCCAACAGTAAAGCATCCTGAGACCATTCATGAGTGGGGTTGCTTCTCAGCCAAGGAAGTGGGCTCACTCACAATTTTGCCTAAGAACACACCCATGAATAAAGAATGGTACCAACACATCCTCCGAGAGCAACTTCTCCCAACCATCCAAGAACAGTTTGGTGACGAACAATGCCTTTTCCAGCATGGTGGAGCAGCTTGCCATAAGGCAAAAGTGATAACTAAGTGGCTTGGGGAACAAAACATCGACATTTTGGGTCCATGGCCAGGAAACTCCCCAGACCTTAATCCCATTGAGAACTTGTGGTCGATGCTCAAGAGGCGGGTGGACAAACAAAAACCCACAAATTCTGACAAACTCCAAGCATTGATTATGCAAGAATGGGCTGCCATCAGTCAGGATGTGGCCCAGAAGTTAATTGACAGCATACTAGGGCATATTGCAGAGGTCTTGAAAAAGAAGGGTCAACACTGCAAATTATTACTCTTTGCATAAAATTAATATATTGTCAATAAAAGCCTTTGACACTTATGGAATGCTTGTAATTATACTTCAGTATACCATAGTGACATCTGACAAAAATATCAGATAACACTGAAGCAGCGAACTTTGTGAAGACCAATACTTGTGAAGTCCAAATAATCAACAACGAAATCCCCAAACAGGAACTACTGCTGCTCGTAATCACATAATTATACGTGAATTTTGACAGATTCTCTCTGTTTCACCTGTCCACGAGAGATTAAGACATATTGCAATCTGAACGAACAGAGAATCGATAGTTCAGTTACATGAATACAAATAAGATTCTTACCCCAAGAAGGCACATTTTTAACTCTCTCTGCGCCATATCGATCTCCAAATTAATAGAACGTTAATGAACATTCCAACCACTTGACTGATTGCTAGCTAGCAGATGTTTCAGTTATTGACAGATTTCTAGCAAATAACCTATTCTCATCAAATAACTAAATACAGATCGAAGAGAAACAAATAAAAAGTATGTCCTCAACCTCTGAACATTAAAAATCATTGATATAATTAGCCATACTTTGATTAAAGTGGCTGGGAAGCTACAAAATAGAAGCGCATCGACTCCATCTTGAACTACAATCCAATGTGTCACGTGACACTTATGTTTATTTTTTGTTTGGAAATATAGCTATGAAGCCATCACGGTTTCTTTATGTTCGTTGCAATAATCCTAACGTATATTTTGTCACATATCCAACTAAATTATTGTTTACTTGATAAAAACACATGAAAAACAACATCAGGAAGTACTTTCAGGAAGTAGTTTTGGCTACGTTGAGTGACAGCCCACACGGGAGCTCGTCGAGCAGATAATCAAGATGGCAGGTAATGTGGCTATCATAATAACATTTTTTCGAAACTTGTAAAAATGCAGTTTAGGGTGTATTTTATGAAAAGTCGCATACATTGACATGTCATTTCTGGTTTTATTGTGTGTTGTTTTCAATCAATTACGATACCTGGGAAGCAAGCTGTGTTTTCAAGCGAAAAGGATAACTAGCCCGTTAGCTATAGCTAATGTCAGCTAACTATGCTTGCCAGTTCTAGTATTTCTATCTGCTTGTTGTTGACAACATTGCCACTGCAAATGTTGTTTCTAGGTATGGGTTGTAGTTATAATGTATTGTGTATTAGGTCTAGCTACTAGCTAGGTATGTAGCTAACGTTAGTTAAATATGTCAGGTCGACTTGCTTTCATGCCTAAGCTAGCTAGCTAAGTTAGCCGGTTGACCTGGCAAGCTAGCCTCTACGCCGATATCTTGGCATACCAAATCCAGCTCAAAACCAAAACAAAGACATATAACGTTAGCTAGCAAGTTACCTTGTGATTTGGCAACCGTATATAGAGTAGCTAACTAGCAATGTTAGCGTTTATTCGATCATTTCCTTTGCTGAAACAGTATAAACAAGATTTGTTATGGGAAGGGTTTGTTTTTGAGTTTGGTTATAGAATTAGCCCGGAAATGTCCCTATGTTCTATTTTGTAAACATTGGCAGCTAGCCACTGCACTGTGTGGTCTTACTTGTTACCACTGGATTTAGCTAGCTAGATGTCTCCCTGGCTTCAACCAAATCAAATGTATTAACTAGCTTGCTAACGTTAGATCATTGAGGCACTTTTTCTCCTACATAGTAACAGTTGACGTATTAGCCAACCCTCTGATCCCCAGGGAGTGGTGGAATTATCTAATGATGGAAGGTATGTTGATTACAGAAAGTAAAATCAGTACTCTTCACCATTCCTTTTTGCAGGTCTGTCTTTATATTTTGAAGATGGTCATGATGATTTGGATGACTGTGAGTATTCCCCCTCACCAATATGTTTCAAATGCCATGTTCAATTATTGTGTAGTTCATGTAGAAAGAGTTACTGAGACTGGGAGACAGATGATGCAGGCTTTTCTGACAACTTCCACAGTTTGAGGCTTTTAGGGAGCCTGCCGTTTCTGGTTGACCCTGTTTGTCCACATGAAATGTAACACTGTTAACAGTCACCCCCTAACATTATATGTCAGATGCCTCCCTCTGGGTTCAGGCAAGCTGTTATTAGCAAAATAGAACATCTATCCCTCTTGTTTAGGGCAATGAAACAATACTCTATCACCCATGATGCAAGGCAAGCACAGTCTACCAATTTTGTAACTGAAACAGACAGCTGTCACTTTTTCACTTGCTTACTCAGGTTAAAAGTGGTGTCTTACTACTTGTGCCAGGATCACCTCAAAGCGCACTTATATCAATATGATAATTGAAACACTGAGCTTATTTCGACAAGTGGTTCCTTGTCGAGATGATTGTGCTTACTTACCTAGACTCCACACTCACTAACTTCATCTTGAACAATTCTGATTCTGAATTTGTTATTTTCCTCCTGTACAGTTGGGTTCGATGACTATGGATCAGAGTGTGATGGAATTCGCATCACAGCTTTCTTGGACGCAGGGCAGGACAATCTCACCCCCCTGGGGAGACTAGAGAAATATGCCTTCAGTGAAAACGTCTTCAACAGGTAGGACCGAATATGGTGACGCACTTGGATACATGCCACAGGGAAGCAATAGCAAATGTTTAGAGATAATGTGATGTTCAAGATGAATGCCATTTGTTTTTGCAATGTTTGACCACAATACAGTGTTGATTGAAAAGTTCTGGTTCTCTGTGTTCTTGTGAATTCAACAAACCTGGGCTCATGGCTTGGCACGGCGGGAATGTAACAAATTATGTCGGGGCGTTAGTGAATGGCCTGAGTGAAGGCTGGGCATTCGGTACTGCCAGGTCTCTCACTCACACTGCTTCAAGACATTAACTTGTGAGGCACCACGCTTGTTAAGACGGGCCTGGTTTGACCTAAGTGTTTCTGATGTGGTTTCTTCTTGCTTTCTGCCCAATGAAAAATAAAAGCCTGCCAGATGCCCTCAGTGGTTTTAAAGACCTCGGTGTGTGTGTGCTTTTGGCATAGCTTGTGCACATCGCCTCTGCAAACCTTTAACAGCAACCCATCAACAGCCCTCCAAAGCCCCCAGTTGAACTCAACTCATGGAAAGGCTGTTTTCATGCTCTGCTTGTTGAGTTCAAGTCCTCAGTGGGGTGATTTCCAAGTTTGTCAGCTACGGGCCGTTATGCTGCTTTGGCTAGATGTTGGCCCAGGCACTAACTTGGGGCTTGTGTTGCTTTCTAGGCAGATCGTGGCACGCGGGCTGCTTGATGTGCTTCGAGAGTTCAGTGACAATGAGAATGACTTTATTAGTGTCATGGAGACAGTTGCCCGAATGTCAGAAGACGGAGGTAGATGTTATTTTTAATTTTTTTCTCTCCCTCATATTATTTTACAATTCTGTCATGTTTGTGGTCACTGGAATTGGACATGGAAGGTTAGCTATCAATTGGAGTGCAATTTAATCCTTGAATTTACTTGAATTGACATTTACATGTCTGAATTGATCCCCAAATTGACATTTACATGCAATTGGCCCGAAACCCCCAATACAAAATAAATTGCATTGTTAGGGCTTTTTTTTTTTATGCACGTTTGTGACCATCATCTCCCTATGTCTGTCATCTTCGTGCGTGTGCGTGTGCTCAGAGCCCACCGTGCGCGCTGAGCTGATGGAGCAGGTGCCCAACATCGCCATGTTCCTACACGAGAGCCAGCCCAACTTCCCAGCAGCCTTCTCCAGATACCTGGTGCCCATCGTGGTGCGCTATCTCACAGACCCCAATAACCAGGTAGGAACAAATGACTCCCACTCTAACTGCAAACAATGGACCACAACAAAATGTTGACATTATCTTAAGCAGTTAAGACACTACTGACACCCTGTGCCTGTCATTTGTGCCTGTGGATTATAAAAGTTGATTGTTAGGCCTAAATGTAAATTCAACAAATTCAAAATACTGTGAAACAAATAGGCATACCTTATACACCATATACCAGGGTATTTGGAAAAAGCCACAGGATGTTTTTTGAATACCGTCAAAACTATTTATTATATGTTTTTCAATACATTTGAATATTTGTAGCTACTTTTTAAGTTAATACCTGCAGTCAGCTTGTGCAATACGTTAGTAGATGAAGCAGACTGCGTTCTTCATTTCACCTGTCACATTATTTGACATTATGAAGCTTACGGTAGCTCCCCAGAACAGTTGAGCCAGTCACGTGTTTGTTTGTAAATAGCACAACGGGAGATGGCGGGAGCTGGTCCATAGCGTTCAATATCTATCGAGTCCATAGCGTTCAATATCTATCGGCGAGTCACTGTTGTGCGGCGCACATGAGGTGATAAAGTGACACTTGAATGCAATTCACTACAAAATGTTTGCTATCAGATATCTTAGAATGGCATGCTGCCAGAAGTCAAAGAGCTCTGGATGAGTTATCTTTACAGCTGCCATTTTGTTCCCTGTGCTTCCTACTAGCGTTTTTTTTCTTCTCCTCAGTTCTTCTCCCCTCTGTTCCGTGTACACATGCTGCTCTTCCTTCAGAAAAGCATGCATCACAATGTATCTCGTTCACTTTAGCTTGTAAATGTCCACACTCACCGACAATGACATTCGGTAGCTACTAGCTATGCTTGTATAACTTTATGAGCTGGATTTGCCTGTCTTTGCAATTATACTGAACAAAAATATCAATGCAACATGCAAGAATTTCAAAGAGTTAGAGCTCATATGAGGAAATCAGTCAATTTAAATAAATAAATTAGGCCCTAATCTATGGATTTCACATGACGGGGAATACAGATATGCATCTGTTGGTCACAGACACCTTAAAAGTAAAGGGCCTCACAATGGGCATCAGGATCCCGTCACGGGTTTTCTGTGCATTCAAATTGCCATCGATAAAATGCAATTGTGTTCGTTGTCCGTAGGTTATGCCTGCCCATACCATAATCCCACCACCACCATGGGGCACACTGTTCACAATGTTGACATCAGAAAACCGCTCACCCACACAACGCCATACACGTGGTCTGCGGTTGTGAGGCCGTTTGGACGTACTGCCAAGTTCTCTAAAACGATGTTGGAGGCGGCTTATGGTAGAGAAATTAACATTACATTCTCTGGCAACAGCTCTGGTGGACATTCCTGCAGTCAGCATGTCAATTGCATGCTCCCTCAACATCTGTGGCATTGTTGTGTGACAAAACTGCACATTTTAGAGTGGCCTTTTATTGTCCCCAGCACAAGGGGTGCCTGTGTAATGATAATGCTGTTTAATCAGCTTGTTGATATGCCACACCTGTTAGGTGGATGGATTTTTTTTATTTTTTAGAGGGTAGATCAGCCTTAATATTGCAGATAGATTGTAACTTCCATCAATGTAATTGTCTGCATCACTTCCAATCCCCCATATGTTTTTTTCTCTCGCATATATATATATATATATATATATATATATATATATATATATAGTGCTATGAAAAAGTATTTGCCCCCTTTCTAATTTTCTCCACTTTTGCATATTTGTGATACTGAATGTTATCAGATCTTCAACCAAAACCTAATATTAGATAAAGGGAACATAAGTGAACAAATAACACAACAATTACATATTTATTTCATAAACAAAGTTATGCAACACCCAATTCCCCTGTGTGAAAAAGTAATTGCCCCCTTACACTCAATAACTGGTTGTGCCACCTTTAGCTGCAATGACTCCAACCAAATGCTTCCTGTAGTTGTTGATCAGTCTCTCACGTCGCTGTGGAGGAATTTTGGCCCAGTCTTCCATGCAGAACTGCTTTAACTCAGTGACGTGTGGGTTTTCAAGCATGAACTGCTCATTTCAAGTCCTGCCACAACATCTCAATTGGGATTAGGTCTGGACTTTGACAAGGCCATTCCAAAACTTCTAATTTGTTGCTTTTTAGCAATTTTCATGTAGACTTGATTGTGTGTTTTGGATCATTGTCTTGCTGCATGACCCAGCTGCGCTTCAGCTTCAGCTCACAGACGGATGGTCTGACATTCTCCTGTAGAATTCTCTGATACAGAGCAGAATTCATGGTTCCTTCTATTAACGCAAGGCGTCCAGGTCCTGAGGCAGCAAAGCATCCCCAAACCATCACACCACCACCACCATGCTTGACCTTTGGTATGATGTTCTTACTGTGGAATGCAGTGTTTGGTTTTCGCCAGGCATAATGGGACCCATCTTGTCCAAAAAGTTGACTCAAGTTTGCCAAAAAGAACCTGGATGATCATCAAGACTCTTGGAAGAACGTTCTATGGACAGATGATTCAAAAGTATAACTTTTTGGACGACATGGTTCCAGTAATGCCTGGCGAAAACCAAACACTGCATTCCACAGTAAGAACATCATACCAAAGGTCAAGCATGGTGGTGGTGGTGTGATGGTTTGGGGATGCTTTGCTGCCTCAGGACCTGGACGACTTGCGTTAATAGAAGGAACCATGAATTCTACAGGAGAATGTCAGACCATCCGTCTGTGAGCTGAAGCTAAAGCGCAGCTGGGTCATGCAGCAAGACAATGATCCAAAACACACAATCAATCTACATGAACATTGCTAAAAAGCAACACATTTGATGTTTTGGAATGGCCTAGTCAAAGTCCAGACCTAATCCCAATTGAGATGTTGTGGCAGGACTTGAAACGAGCAGTTCATGCTTGAAAACACTCACGTCACTGAGTTAAAGCAGTTCTGCATGGAAGACTGGGCCAAAATTCCTCCACAGCGACGTGAGAGACTGATCAACAACTACAGGAAGCATTTGGTTGGAGTCATTGCAGCTAAAGGTGGCACAACCAGTTATTGAGTGTAAGGGGGCAATTACTTTTTCACACAGGGGAATTGGGTGTTGCATAACTTTGTTTATGAAATAAATATGTAATTGTTGTGTTATTTGTTCACTTATGTTCCCTTTATCTAATATTAGGTTTTGGTTGAAGATCTGATAACATTCAGTATCACAAATATGCAAAAGTAGAGAAAATTAGAAAGGGGGCAAATACTTTTTCATAGCACTTTAAAAAAATATATATTTCCCTTTATTACTTTCCAACCCCACCACCCCTTCCCTAATTGGAGTAAACTAGTGAACAACAATGCTTAGGCCTCTACTTCCGGCTTATACATACTATATACATTTTATGGACACAGTCAATTCTACAATAATTATATTTTGTTTGTTTTTACTCCTGAACTTCCTCTACCCTCAACCTCTCCGATCATTTTCACCGGTTTGCTTCTATATGCCATATCTTTCTAACTTTCACAAAAGCTCTCAACCTATAACCTATATACTTATTATGGACACCGTATGCTTTACATTAGTTATCTTGTTGTTATTAGTTGTTGTTATTAGTCCAATCCTTCAACTCCATTCAACACCTCCCATCTAATTCTTAACATTTACATTTTTACATTTTAGTCATTTAGCAGATGCTCTTATCCAGAGCGACTTACAGTTAGTGAGTGCATACATTTCTTCATACTGGCCCCCGTGAGAATTGAATCCACAACCCTGGCGTTGCAAGCGCCATGCTCTACCAACTGAGCTACACGGGGCCACATATCCATATTGGATTTCTATTTGCCATATATTTTTCAACTGTACTGTGATGTTTTACAAAAGTTCTGAACCCTTCTATTCTCATTGTTTCTACAGATTGTAAATTGAAAATAAACATTTTTGCTTAAAGTATGATTATATTATTGATCGATTTACTATGACTTTTCAGATCACCCAGTAGTGCTATCTGCAGGGTTAGCTCCAGGTAAATATTGCAATCCTTTAGCCATTCCTGGACCTGTGTCCAAAAACAAGCTACAAATGGACACTACCAAAACAAATGATCTAATGATTCTGTGTCTTCGCAGCAAAATCTGCAGAGCTGGGATGATTGTATCCCCCATATCAATAACATTCTATTGGTAGCAGAATTGTTCAATTTAAATTATTATACAAAATTCTTACGTTTTGAATCCGGCGTCGTTTTGTGTATTACTTCATAAACACTGTGCCATGGAATCAGTACGTCAAAAATCTCTTCCCAACTTCTTTGCAATCTAAATGGGACGGCTGTCAATACTTTGGTCCTTAAAGGAAACTGGTATACTTTTTTATTTATCACAATTTTCTTTAATGCAGGGTCGACAGACAAGTTCCTTACTTTTTCCCCCTTCCACTTTCCTCTACCATTTTTGCGGTAATGCTGCAATTATTTGGTTGTAATTTTGGGTAGACCAGACATTTCCATATGTTTTTGTTAGCTGCATGTGCGACAACTCCACCAGTCCTACCTATGATATCATTTATGAAGATCATAACTTAAAAAAAAATTTTTTAAACAAATAAAGTTTTTTTTATCAATTAGTATATTTGAGTTTAACCACTATTTGTTGCATTATTTGGTCTGTCGTTTCTGGAGGATTAAATTGAAATTGCAACCAACTTTCTATGGCTTATTTTAGAAATGGTGATATTTGGGAGATTATTTCCTTTTCAAATAACTGAAAGTGAGAGGTTGTAATCTGAATAAAGGGAAAAAGGCCATTCTTGAACATTGGGTGAGACAATCTTACTAATTTGCTAGAGAACCAGTTCGGATTTAAGTATAACTTTTGTATGACTGAAGCTTTTAGTGATAGGTCTAATGCTTTAATATTTAATAATTTCTGCACTCCGAATTCATATTCATTATATAAATAGGCCCGTTTAATTTTCTGGCTTGCCGTTCCAAATAAAATTGAATAGTCTTTTCTCATGTAATTTAAAAAAACTGTTCGCTAGGCATAGGCAAGACCATCATCAAATAGGTAAACTGGGATAATACTAAAGAGTTAATCAGGGTGATTTTTCCACAAATTGAGAGGTAGCAAGATCTTATCTATTTTTGCTAACTTTCTATTAAAATGTATTGGAGTGAGATCATTTATTTCATTTGGGATATGTATTCCGAGTATATCCACTTTCCCATCAGACCATTTTATTGGTAAACTACATGGTAATGTAAATTTTTTATTTTTTAGTGATCCAATACGTAATATAGTACATTTGTCATAATTTGGTTGTAATCCAGAGAGGTTAGAAAATGTATCTAGATCCTCTATGAGGCTGTGGAGGGATTCAAGTTGTGGATTTTAAAGAAAACATGAATCATCAGCGTACAATGACACCTTTGTTTTTAAAGATGGATTATCTTGGCAAAGATCATTTTAGAGAAACATTTGAGAGAAATAAGCTTTTTGTGTGTATGGAGAATTTCTGGCATCATTTATTTCAGCTCATGAAACATGGGACCAACACTTTACATGTTTCGTTTATATTTTTGTTCAGTGTAGTTTGTTCGTTTTCACTCGTTAGCATTTAGGCTAACAGTGTCTGTCATTTTGCTATTAGTTTGTGCTAATTCTGTTAGCATTCTGGTTAGAGCCCCATTGGCCTTTTCTTGCATTTTTAGCGCCCGTTGTGTGTTATGCCGGTAATACCGTAAATGCTGGGATAAGAGAACGACGGTATGACAATATGAACATCTGGATACAGCCCAAGCCTAGAAACAAATGTGTGGAGCACATTAACCGCTAGTCCGGAGCTATAATCTTTCTGTATTTCCAGGCTAAGCTAACACTGTATTGTAGATGTCAGTACTGACAGATGTGGTCTTTTTCCTAAGGTGCGGAAGACCAGTCAGGCGGCCCTGCTAGTGCTGTTAGAGCAGGGCCTCATCTGCAAGGGCGACATGGAGACCAAAGTGTGTCCTGTTCTACTAGACCTCACCGAGCCCAGCAGCGACGACGACTACAAGATAGAGGCTGTCGCGGTAAGATAAGATTACTTTGGGCTTTGGGTTTATTGATGATTCAAGCTCACATGTTGATTTAGTTCACAGAAACTGAAGAAATGCAGAATTGACTTTAATACAATTTTATGTAAAACGCACTCGGTGAGAAGCCAGAACAACTAATCTTGCCAGTATCCATTGATCTTTACGTTCTCATGGCCAGTTTTTCTTTATGTCCAGTAGTCTGTTATATTACCATGTTTTTCTTTAAGTGTGTGTTTTTCACCCGACTTTAATAAAGATCTACAGGTCAAAAAGACATACAGGGTATAAAGACACAAATATGCAAGATGAGTGGTTCTGAGCCATAATACCAAAAACAAATGTCAGACAAAGAGGATATAGGCTGATCCCTGGATCTGAAGAAAGAGGATAGTTGTTAGTGGACCCTAGCCCAAAATATTTAGGTCAATATGTGATCAATGCAGCTGCAGAGGATGGGCAGTGGCTAGAGAAGTCTGCATGAATCCATGGTCACTACCAGTACCATATGTGTTATTGAGGGTTTTAGTTTTGTAAGCTTGACGTTGCTTTTTCAAATACTGTTAGCTGTGTAATGCTAAGGCTGCGTGGAATGCCCAGCTAAATCCTCCACTGAGTCCAAGTGCAATAGTGCTTTTTGAGAATCAAGCACTGTGCATCCTTTGTGCTTGGATCCGTGAGCTGTAGGGTGAAGTTGACCCTAGATGCTGATCTTTTGGTCAGTTTTAGCATTTTCCCCACTAATGGTTAAGGTTAGGTTTGGGGAAGGGGAAGCTGATCCTAGATCTGTACCTAGGGAAAATCCTGGAGCCCCTGTGGATTCCGTTACAATACCATTGATTCCCGTGTCCTCTCCTCTCTCTCCTTGTTCTGTAGATCATGTGTAAGCTGGTAACCATGCTGAGCAAAGACACAGTGGAGCACCTGCTGCTGCTGCGCTTCTGTGAGCTGTGCAGTGATGCCAGGCTCTTCCAAGTCCGCAAGGTGAACACACACACACACACACTTCTCTGTATCCAACTTGAACCCGTAGAAAACATGCTCCCACATTAGATCACACCGTTTATGGTAGTCGCTGAAGGATTGTGTTTCCCATCTCTATTCATCCAACATTTTCACAACACTGAATGAATGCAGTTGCCTAAGAATGTGTTTTGTTACTCAGTATGAAGGCCTACAGTACTGTTGTTTTCTGTTTGGAATTTTAATCCTCTCGTGAAGTTTGTGCCAGTTGGGGAAGGTGTATTTGGGAGTAGGAAAGGGAAGATTTTATTTGAACCCCTGTGGATTTCCCTGAGCTTGTGATGACTGTAATGTGCCTCAAAGACTGTGTCCCAATGATGCTCACTAAGTGCTGTTGTATTCGAATACAATTCTGTAAGGCTGACATGGATAAACATTTTATTGGATAAAATGTTTTTTTTCTTCTTTTTTCTGGTACTCAAGCAGAATTTATGAGCCACAAAAAGATTACATGAACAAACTGTTTTTAACATCAGTTATTATTTTTTACACTGTTTTCCTTCAGGTGTGTGCAGCCAATTTCGGAGAGTTCTGTTCCATTGTGGGTCAGGATGCCACAGAGAAACTACTGGTGGGAAACATTTGTAAAAATGTCACTAGAATGTTGCTTTATTTCCTCCTCACAATCTCAAAGATATGTACATGTCTATCATTACACAACATGCTGGTTTTAACCACCATTGTGTTCTTCACATTCCTTAAAGGAAAATTCCACCCAAAAACTATCTTTTGGTATTTGTTTCATTAGCCCATTGTTGACATAGTCCCAAAATGCTTTGCTTATGTTACCAATGGGCTAATGAAACAAATACCAAATTATAGTTTTTGGGTGGAGTTTTCCTTTAACATACAATAAATATCTAGGTTATGTTCAATAGGACACACCGTAGCAAAAAGGTTTGCAACAACAGGTAGAGTACCTTCGAATTTCACTCCGTTTAGGAGTGTTTTCTTCCGTTTTGTGCCTAATGAACACGATCATTTAGTTATGGAACTGGTGTATATTCATTAAGAACCAAATGGAAGCCTACCTGAATTTGTCCAATGAGAAACTGGTTTGCTACGGTCTCCACTAATGAATACATCCCTAGTAATCATTCTATTCTGTCACCAGATGTCCAAGTTCTTTGACCTGTGCTCGGATAGCCTGTGGGGCATCCGGAAGGCGTGCGCAGAGTGCTTCATGATCGTCTCCAACTCCACCTCCCCCGAAGTGCGACGCACTAAACTGTCCCCCCTCTTCATCAGCCTCATCAGTGACCAATCACGCTGGGTAAGAGCCTACGCCAGACGCACACTTATAAACACCATGCTATTCTGGTGATGTTTGTATGAAACATATTTTCCGCAAGAATGGCCTTAAATTACAATGAAAATAGTGTAATTCTCTTGATAATGAATTGACGGTGAACATCATAGAGATACATATATGAATTATTTGTGTGTGTGTTACTATGTTCTATTCAATGATGTGTTAAACATACTCTCTTGACCCTCCAGGTGCGCCAGGCTGCCTTTCAGTCTCTGGGACGCTTCATCTCCACCTTTGCCAACCCCTCCAGCACAGGCCTCTACTTCAAAGAGGACGGCACACTACTGGAGGTCCCCAGGTGTCCTTTTGACAGGTTAGGACCCACGCACAAACACACACACACACTGTCACCGTTCGACTCTGGGTCCAAAAACACTATTCAAAATGGACCATATTAGTCAAATGTACCAATAGCCTTTCTTGTTTTGACTTTTTCATCTAGTATAGTGTTGTGATTTTTTTTTTTTAATGCAATTAAAAGTTTGATGTAATTGAAGAGGGAAATAAAGGGGGCTCTCTGATTGGCTGTCTGTTGCAGAGATTCCCACCTCTGCATCGAGTCCTCCATGCACTGCTCCTTCAACGGCACCACAGAGAGACCCTCGCACACACCCATCAACCAAGATGGCCGCTCCACCCCATCCGTAGAATGCATGTCCGGGGGAGACAGCGGCGGCGACTCCACACACACTCCTCCCCGAGACCGACACGAAGGCCAGGAACGCAACAACAACAACAACAACAACCCTCCTCCCACAAACAACAAAAACAAGGAGACGGAACAAACAGACGAGAATTTTAACTCTTTCCACTACTGGAGGCCTCCGTTACCGGATATCAGCGAGGAGCTGGAGATACTGAAAGACGAGGGTCCTCTGCAGAACCAGACGAAGGGAGAGAAGAAGGAGGAGATGGTGCTAGAGGACGGGGAGATGGAGGGAAAGAAGGAGATGGCTAGTCTGGAGCCAGTCACCAGCTCTCAGATCCAGAAGGTGTTGGACTGCCTCCAGCCCCACATGGACGACCCCGATGCACAAGGTGAGGTTTGAGGAAAGCATGTCTCCTCAAAGGTTGTTAATAAAAAGATAATTGGTGCAATAATTTAGAACATTGTGTTGTATGGTGATACTATCCAACCATCACAGCATTATTTGACTCACTGAACTTAAAGTGGAACTGACAGCAATTTAGCAACATAAAATCATATACACCCCCAGGAAGAATATGACGCCTGTTTTACATTTTCTTTGAAGCAAGCACTTAAATATTGACGTTTTCATACTATCATAGATTGTTTGGGAATGATGTAAAGCAGGGGTATTCAACTCTTACCCTACGAGGTCCGGAGCCTGTCGGTTTTCTGTTCTACCTGATAATTAATTGCACACACCTGGTGTCCCAGGTCTAAATCAGTCCCTGATTAGAGGGGAACAATGAAAAAATGCAGTGGAACTGGCTTCGAGGTCCAGAGTTGAGTTTGAGGGATGTAGAGTAAAGCATTTGTGAAAATTGTATAGCAATATAGAGTGGGAAAGCATCCGTGCGTTTGGACAGTTGATAGACACTGCAATAAAACCGAATAAAAACGTGTCAGTCTTGTCCAGGACCAGACACCACACAGACCGGCGCACCATAACCAATCAGAGCTACAGTAGGCCTATATGCAAATAAGCCATTTGCCACACAGGCCTGCCATCATTCTCTTTGAACTGGACTGTGTGTTTACAGGCAGTAGCAACAGCGCGACTTTAAATCATTAGAAAGCGTTTGCCAAAAGACACAAAATACACCTGAATGGATTTCTGCAAATATGTAAATACCATGGGAGTCCTCTTACATTTGGGAACTTTACATTCCTGTTGATCAAACAACCATGAACAGGTAGGCTCTCTCCCCCTAAGTTGCCTATGCACATCAACAACAACAAGATCAACAACTATCAATCAAATGTATTTATAAAGCCCTTTTTACATCAGCAGATGTCACAAAGTGCTATACAGAAACTCCCTAGAAAGGCATGAACCTAGGAAGAAACCTAGAGAGGAACCAGGCTCTGAGGGGGCAGAACAGTTGAAACTGGAGCAGCAGCACGACCAGGTAGACTGGGGACAGCCAGGAGTCATCAGGCCAGGTAGTCCTAAGGCATGATCCTAGGGCTCAGGTCCTCCGGGAGGAGAGGGAGATAATTAGAGGGAGCATACTTAAATTCACACAGGACACCAGATAAGACAGACTGACCCAAACAGACTGACACTTTGCCAAAGCAGAGCCCCCACACCACTAGAGGGATATCAACATACCAACTTACTACATTGAGACAAGGCTTAGTATAGCCCACAAAGATCTCCTCCAACGAGGGGGCGCAAAACCGGACAGGAAGATCACGTCTGTGACTCAACCCACTCAAGTGACGCACCCCTCCTAGGGACGGCATGGAAGAGCACTAGTAAGCCAGTGACTCAGCCCCCGTAATAATGGTCAGAGGCAGAGAATCCCAGTAGAGAGAGGGGGGCCGGCCAGGCAGAGACAGCAAGGGCGGTTCGTCGCTCCAGTGCCTTGCAGTTCAGCTTTGCACCCCTGGGCCAGACTACACTCAATCATAGCACCTACTGAAGAGCTGAGTCTTCAGTAAAGACTTAAAGGTTGAGACCGAGTCTGCGTCTCTCAAATGGGTAAGCAGACCGTTCCATAAAAATTGAGTTCTATAGGAGAAATTCTGGGGACAATAAGGAGGCGTGTAGGTATGTACGGCAGGACCAAATCGGAGAGATCGGTAGGCGCAAGCCCATGTAATGCTTTGTAGGTTAGCAGTAAAACCTTGAAATCAGCCCTAGCCTTAACAGGAAGCCAGTGTAGAGAGGCTAGCACTGGAGTAATATGATCACATTGTTGGGTTCTAGTCAAGAGTCTAGCAGCAGTTTTTAGCACTAACTGAAGTTTATTTAGTGCTTCATCCGGGTAGCCAGAGAGTAGAGGATTGCAGTAGTCTAATCTAGAAGTGACAAAAGCATGGATTAGCTTTTCTGCATCATTTTTGGACAAACCGTTTCTGATTTTTGCAATGTTACGAAGATGGAAAAAAGCTGTCCTTTAAATATTCTTGATATGTTCGTCAAAAGAGAGATCAGGGTCCAGAGTAACGCTGAGGTCCTTCACAGTTTTATTTGAGACGACTGTACAACCATCAAGATTAATTGTCAGCTCCAACAGCAGATCTGTTTGTTTCTTGGGACCTAGAACTAGCATCTCTGTTTTGAGTTTAAAAGTAAAACATTTGCCGCCATCCACTTCCTTATATCTGAAACACAGGCTTCCAGGGTAGGCAATTTTGGGGCTTCACCATGTTTCATCGAAATGTAGAGCTGTGTGTCGTCCGCATAGCAGTGAAAGTTGACATTGTGTTTCCGAATGACATCACCAAGCAGTTGAGTATATAGTGAAAACAATAGAGGTACTAAAACAGAACCTTAAGGACTTACAATAGATTTGTCATAGGACAAACCATCCACAGAGATGAACTGATATCTTTCCGACAGATGGATCTAAATCAGGCAAGAACTTGTCCGTGTAGACCAATTAAGGTTTCTAATCTCTCCAAAATAATGTGGTGATCGATGGTGTCAAAAGCAGCACAAAGGTCTTGGAGCACGAGGACAGATGCAGAGCCATTAAAAGGTAATTTACCACCTTCACGAGTGCAGTCTCAGTGCTAGGATGGGGTCGAAAACCAGACTGAAGCATTTCGTGTACATCATTTGTCTTCGGGAAGGCAGTGAGTTGCTGCGCAACAGCTTTTTCAAAAAATGTTGAGAGGAAGGGGAGATTCGATATAGGCCGATAGTTTTTTGCATTTTCCGGGTCAAGGTTTGGCTTTTCCAAGAGAGGCCTTATTACTGCCACTTTTAGTGTGTTTGGTACATATCTGGCGGATAGGGAGCCATTTATTATGTTCAATATAGGAGGGCCAAGCACAGGAAGTAGCTATTTCAGTAGTTTAGTTGGAATAGGGTCCAGTATGCATCTTGAAGGTTTAGAGGCCATGACTATTTTCATGAATGTGTTGAGATACAGGATTTTAAAAAAAAATGTAGTGTCTCCATTGATCCTAGGTCCTGGCAGTTCTGTGCAGACTCAGGACAACTGAGCTTTGGAGAAATATGCAGATTCAAAGAGGAGTCTGTAATTTGCTTTCTAATGATCATGATCTTTTCATTGAAGAAGTTAACAAATTCATCACTGCTGAAGTGAAAGCCATCCTCTCTTGTTGAATGCTGCTTTTTAGTTCGTTTTGCTACAGTATCAAAAATACATTTAGGATTGCTCTTATTCTCTTCAATAAGGTTGGAAAAATAGGATGATCGAGGAGCAGTGAGGGCTCTTCGATATTGCACGGTATTGTCTTTCCAAGCTAGTCGGAAGACTTCCAGTTTGGTGGAGCGCCATTGCCGTTCCAATTTTCTGGAAGCTTTCTTCAGGGCTCGGGTATTTTCTGTATACCAGGGAGCAAATTTCTTGTGACAATTTTTGTTTTGTTTTTAGGGTATCACGCAAGGTTAAATTTAGATCCTCAGGTGGGAAACCGATTTTTGTACTCCAACGTCCTTGGGTAGGTGGAGGGAGTCTGGAAGGGCATCTAGGAATCTTTGGGTTGTCAGAGAATTTATAGCACTGCTTTTGATGATCCTTGGTTGGGGTCTGAGCAGATGATTTGTTGCAATTGCAAATGTAATAAGATGGTGGTCCGATAGTCCAGGATTATGAGGAAAAACATTTAGATCCACAATATTTATTCCACTGGACAAAACTAGATCCAGGGTATGACTGTGGCAATGAGTAGGTCCGGAGACATGTTGGACAAAACCCACTGAGTCGATGATGGCTCTAAAAGCCTTTTGGAGTGGGTCTGTGGACTTTTACATGTGAATATTAAAGTCACCAAAAATGTGAATATTATCTGCCATGACTACAAGGTCCGATAGGAATTCAGGGAACTCCGTGAGGAACGCTGTATACGGCCCAGGAGGCCTGTAAACAGAAGCTATAAAAAGTGATTGAGTAGGCTGCATAGATTTCATAACTAGAAGCTCAAAAGATGAAAACAGTCTTTTTTTGGTGGGGGTTAAATTGAAATTTGCTGTCGTAAATTTTAGCAACACCTCCGCCTTTGCGCGGGGGATATGGTCACTAGTATAACCAGGAGGAGAGGCCTCATGTAACACAGTGAATTCATCAGGCTTGAGCCATGTTTAAGTCAGGCCAATCACATCAAGATTATGATCAGTGATTAGTTCGTTGACTGCCTTGGAAGTGAGGGATCTAACATTAAGTAGCCCTATTTTGAGATGTGAGATATCACTATCTTTTAATAATGACAGGAATGGAGGAGGTCTTTATTCCAGTGAGATTTGCTCAACCTAGATCGAGGCACAGACACGTCCTCAATGGGGATAGCTGAGCTGACTACACTGACTGTGCTAGTGGCATACTGCACTAAGCTGGAAGGCTGGCTAACAGCCTGTTGCCTGGCCTGCACCCCATTTAATTGTGGAGTTAGAGCTCTGTCTATGTTGATAGATAAGATAAGAGCACCCCTCCAGCTAGGATGGAGTCCGTCACTCCTCAGCTGGCCAGGCTTGGTCCTGTTTGTGGGTGAGTCCCAGAAAGAGAGCCAATTATCTACACATTCTTTCTTTTGGGAGGGGCAGATAGTTCTCCTGTATATTATGAGTACAGCGACTGCAATTAGATGGCATAATGTTAATGTTACTACTTAGCTTTTTCGGCTGAAAAGTTTGGCAGATAGCCAAGTAGCAACAAACAGCACAGAGACAAGTCCGGAAGTTGAGAAGTGTTAGCCAGAGCGAGATGAACTAAAATCTAATGAGGGAACAGTAGATAAACCTCTCAAACTTTTTTTGCTTGTAGTTGGCCGTCAAAATTGGACTGAAACGATGGGGAAAAGTAGCCTGCTAGCCCTTCTAGCAGCTTGCCTGCTAATGCATGCTTGTCCCAAACCACGTTTTGACAACTGAATGGGAACTTGCCAGCCTACCCTCCCATTTGATCGATGCCAAATACATTTGATTGACAACTAAGATATATGTTAACTGTGGATAACAGTTCAGCATAGCTAGCTAGCAAAGTGATTCACATTTCCTGCTAGCTAACCAAATAACACCTGCATCTCTAGCTTCAGCCACCAAAAAATATATGGGGGATAAAGTCGACCACTCACCCGCTCGTCCAATGACATAACATCCTCACAGCAGCTAGCTAGCTAGCGTTAGGCTCTGTGTTTCTAGCTGGCTAAATAAATAGAGACATAAATCGATAAACTAGCCTATTAGCCATGTTATGATATTTTTTTTAGCAGATGCTCTTATCCAGAGCGACTTAGTTAGTGAGTGCATACATTTTTTTTTTCATACTGGCCCCCCGTGGGAAACGAACCCACAACCCTGGCGTTGCAAGCGCACTGAGCTACACGGGGCCATGATTGACGCTAGTTTGATTGTATTGACATTCCCAGCCTTAGTTACATTCATCTGCTAGTTTGATTGTATTGACATTCCCAGCCTTAGTTACATTCATCCGTTTTTGTGCAAAACATTGAGTCATTGAAACTGAAACAGTGCATCCCAAAGGGCTGGAGGAAGCAAACGATGTACTAGGCCAGCTGTGATTTACAACCTGATAGCAATATTTGTTGGACTACCAAGAAAAGTATTGGTGAATGAACTATATTAATCATGTGTTGAACTGCATCCATCTTTTCTGCCAAAAATCCCTTACTCTACGTCATGGAATTTTTTGTCAAATATAACCTATTTTGTTACCCCTTATGAAGTAGGTTTTGTAGCATAAACTGGGAATGTTATAGTTTTGCCTAATATTATGATTGTCTGTTTGTTTCATATCTGCAAAGTACTTAAAACGCTGTCAGTTCCACTTTTAATAGTCTGTACATTTGACCTGTGTATTCAAGACCACGTGGTTATGTCTTTGTGTCTCTGTGTTTCCGTATGCGTCTCCCAGCCCAAGTGCAGGTGCTCTCGGCCGCCCTGAAGGCTGCCCAGCTGGAGACCCAATCTGAGGAGACGGAGAGTCAGTCAGAGAGCCAGCCACCAGAGGATGGGGAAGGGGAACCAGACGAGGAGTTCTCCAAGAACGGAGGGACCGCTGAGGAGGAACAGGCACATAAGGAGCCTCCCCAGCAGACCACTGATTCGGCACCCATAGTCTCTCAGGAATCATCCCCCGACTCGCCTGTCCTTGTACGGGATGACTCGGACCACAGCAGTGTGGTGAGTAGGGATGTGCATCTCTCCTTACAAGCATGATTCGATACACATCTAGATAAATGGGCTTCAATACAATACATTTAGCTTGAAGTGATTTAATAAGTGGAACGAATCGAAGCAATGCACTAACAAATGTTGCATGAACACATTATTTTTTCATTCTAAATTTAATATCTGATAATGATGGAGATGAGCAGAGCTGTGTGTGTGTGCTGAGCCTCACAGGTCCTCAACTGGCAGCTTCATTAAATAATACCCGCAAAACACCAGTCTCAACGTCAACAGTGAAGACTGGTGTTTTGCGGGTACTGTTTAATGAAGCTGCCAGTTGAGGACCTGTGAGGCGTGTGTTTCTCAAACCAGAGACACTAATGTATTTGTTCTCTTGCTCAGTTGTGCACCAGGGCCTCCCACTCCTCTTTCTGTTCTGGTTAGAGCCAGTTTATGCTGTTCTGTGAAGGGAGTAGTACACAGCGTTGAACGAGATCTTCAGTTTCTTGGCAATTTCTCGCATGGAATAGCCTTAATTTATAGACTGACAAGAATAGACTGACGAGTTTCAGAAGAAAGTTATTTGTTTCTGGCCATTTTGAGCATGTAATCGAGCCCACAATTGCTGATGCTCCAGATACTTAACTAGTCTCAAGAAGGCCAGTTTTATTGCTTCTTTAATCAGCACTACAGTTTTCAGCTGTGCTAACATAATTGCAAAAGGGTTTTCTAATGATCAATTAGCCTTTTAAAATGATAAACTTGGATTAGCAAATACAACGTGCCATTGGAACACAGGACTGATGGTTGCTGATAATGGGCCTCTGTATGCCTATGTAGATATTCCATTAAAAATCAGCCATTTACAACATTAACAATGTCTACACTGTATTTCTACCCAACAATGCAGAGAGAGAGAAAATAGAGGAATAATAGAAAAGTAAAACACATAATAATAGATACACAATGAGTAACGATAACTTGGCTATATGCAAGTGGTACCAGTACCGATGTGCAGGGGTACGAGGTAATTGAAGTAGATATGTACTTACAGTGCCTTCGGAAAGTATTCAGCCCCCTTGACTTTTTCCACATTTTGTTAAGTTACAGCCTTATTTTCAAATAGATTAAATAAATAAAAATCCTCATCAATCTACACACAATGACCCATAATGACAAAGCGAAAACAGGTTTGAAGAAATGTTTACACATTTATTCAAAACAAAAAATTGATACCTTATTTACATAAGTATTCAGACCCTTTGCTATTTTTACATTTTAGTCATTTAGCAGACGCTTTTATCCAGAGCGACTTAGTTAGTGAGTGCATACATTTCCACACTGCTATGAGACTCGAAATTGAGCTCAGGTGCATCCTGTTTCCATTGATCATCCTTGATGTTTCTACAACTTGATTGGAGTCCACCTGTGGTGAGTTCAGTTGATTGGACATGATTTGGAAAGACGCACACCTATCTATATAAGGTCCCACAGTTGACAGTGCATGTCAGAGCAAAAACCCAGCCATGAGGTCAAATGAATTGTCCGTAGAGCTCCGAGACAGGATTGTGTCGAGGCACAGATCTGGGAAGGGTACCAAAACATTTCTGCAGCATTGAAGGTCCCAAAGAACATAGTGGCCTACGTCATTCTTAAGTGGAAGAAGTTTGGAACCACCAAGACTCTTCCTACACCTGGCTGCCCAGCCAAACTGAGATATCGGGGAAGAAGGGCCTTGGTCAGGAAGGTGACCAAGAACCATATGGTCACTCTGACAGAGCTCTAGAGTTCCTCTGTGGAGATAGGAGAAACTTACAGAAGGACAACCATCTCTGCAGCAGTCCACCAATTAGGCCTTTATGGTAGAGTGCCAGACGGAAGCCAGTCCTCAGTAAAAGGCACATGACAGCCCGCTTGGAGTTTGCCAAAAGACACCTAAAGACTCTGAGACCATGAGAAACAAGATTCTCTGGTCTGATGAAACCAAGATTGAACTCTTTGGCCTGAATGCCTAGTGTCACGTCTGGAGGAAACCTGGCACCATCCCTACGGTAAAGCATGGTGGTGGCAGCATCATACTGTGGGGATTTTCTTCAGTGGCAGGGACTGGGAAACTAGTCAGGATCGAGGCAAAGATGAACGGAGCAATGTAAAGAGAGATCCTTGATGATAACCTGCTCCAGAGCGTTCAGGACCTCAGACTGGGGCGAAGTTTCACCTTCCAACAGGACAACGACCCTAAGCACACAGCCAAGACAACGCTGGAGTGGCTTCGGGACAAGTCTCTGAATGTCCTTGAGTGGCCCAACCAGAGCCCGGATTTGAACCTGATCGAACATCTCTGGAGAGACCTGAAAAAAAGCTGTGCAGCAATGCTCCCCATCCAACCTGACAGAGCTTGAGAGGATCTGCAGAGAAGAATGGGAGAATCTCCCCAAATACAGGTGTGCCAAGCTTGTAGTGTCATACCCAAGAAGACTCGAGGCTGTAATCAATGCCAAAGGTGCTTCAACAAAGTACTGTGTAAAGGGTCTGAATACTTATGTAAATGTGATATTTTTCATTTTTAATAAATTAGCAAAAAAACTGTTTTTGCTTTGTCAATATGTGGTATTGTGTGTAGATTGATGGGAAAAAACAATTGAATCAATTTTAGGGTAAGGCTGTAACCTAACAACGTGGAAATATTCAAGGGGTCTGAATACTTTCCGAAGGCACTGTATAACTAGTAATAAAGTGACGGATAGTACAGTTGTGGTCAAAAGTTTTGAGAATGACACAAATATTTTATTTTCACAAAGTCTGAACGTAATCCCCAAAAAACATTTCCACTGCATTTCAGCCCTGCCACAAAAGGACCAGCTGACAATCATGTCTGTGATTATCTTGTTAACACAGGTGAGAGTGTTGACGAGGACAAGGCTGGAGATCACTCTGTCATGCTGATTGAGTTAGAATAACAGACTGGAAGCTTTAAAAGGAGGGTGGTGCTTGAAATCATTGTTCTTCCTCTGTTAACCATGGTTACCTGCAAGGAAACACGTGCCGTCATCATTGCTTTGCACAAAAAGGTCTTCGCAGGCAAGGATATTGCTGCTAGTAAGATTGCACCTAAATCAACAATTTATCGGATCATCAAGATCTTCAAGGAGAGAGGTTCTTCAATTGTTGTGAAGAAGGCGTCAGGGCGCCCAAGCAAGTCCAGCAAGCGCCAGGACCATCTCCTAAAGTTGATTCAGCTGCGGGATCGGGGCACCACCAGTACAGAGCTTGCTCAGGAATGGCAGCAGACAGGTGTGAGTGCATCTGCACGCACAGTGAGGCGGAGACTTTTGGAGGATGGCCTGGTGTCAAGAAGGGCAGCAAAGAAGTCACTTCTCTCCAGGAAAAACATCAGGGACAGACTGAAATTCTGCAAAAGGTACAGGGATTGGACTGCTGAGGACTGGGGTAAAGTCATTTTCTCTGAATCCCCGTTCCGATAGTTTGGGGCATCCAGAAAAAAGCTTGTCCGGAGAAGACAAGGTGAGCGCTACCATCAGTCCTGTGTCATGCCAACAGTAAAGCATCCTGAGACCATTCATGTGTGGGGTTGCTTCTCAGCCAAGGGAGTGGGCTCACTCACAATTTTGCCTAAGAACACAGCCATGAATAAAGAATGGTACCAACACATCCTCTGAGAGCAACTTTTCCCAACCATCCAAGAACAGTTTGGTGACGAACAATGCCTTTTCCACCATGATGGAGCATCTTGCCATAAGGCAAAAGTGATAACTAAGTGGCTCGGAACAAAACATTGACATTTTGGGTCCATGGCCAGGAAACTCCCCAGACCTTAATCCCATTGAGAACTTGTGGTCAATCCTCAAGAGGCGGGTGGACAAACAAAACCCACAAATTCTGACAAACTCCAAGCATTGATTATGCAAGAATGGGCTGCCATCAGTCAGGATGTGGCCCAGAAGTTAATTGACAGCATGCCAGGGCGGATTGCAGAGGTCTTTAAAAAGAAGGGTCAACACTGCAAATATTGACTCTTGCATAAACTTAATGTAATTGTCAATAAAAGCCTTTGACACTTATGGAATGATTGTAATTATACTTCAGTATACCATAGTAACATCTGACAAAAATATCTAAAAACACTGAAGCAGCAAACTTTGAAGACCATTACTTGTGTCATTTTCAAAACTTTTGACCATGACTGTAAACAGTAGCAGCAGCGTATGTGATTAGTCAAAGTTTGTGCAAAATGGGTCAATGGAGATAATCCGGGTAGCTATTTGGTTAACTTGGAACTATTTAGCAGTCTTATGGCTTGGGGGTAGAAGCTGTGCAGGGTCCTGTTGGTTCCAGACTTGGTGCATCGGTACCGCTTGCCGTGCGGTACCAGAGCGATATGTATGACTTGAGTGGCTGGAGTCTTTGACCATTTTTAGGGCCTTCCTCTGAGTTCAGCCCCAGTGATGTACAGTGCCTTCAGAAAGTATTCACACCCCTTTACTTTTTCCGCGTTTTGTGTTTACAAGGTGGGATTCAAATGTATTGAATTGTCATTTTTTGTGAATGAGCTACACAAAATACTCTGTCAAAGTGGAAGAATGATTCTAACATTTGTAAAAAAATATATATATACAGTGAGGGGAAAAATGTATTTGATCCCCTGCTGCTGATTCTGTACGTTTGCCCACTGACAAAGACATGATCAGTCTATAATTTTAATGGTAGGTTTATTTGAACAGTGAGAGACAGAATAACAACAACAAAAAAATCCAGAAACCGCATGTCAAAAATGTTATAAATTGATTTGCATTTTAATGAGGGAAATAAGTATTTGACCCCTCTGCAAAACATGACTTAGTACTTGGTGGCAAAACCCTTGTTGGCAATCACAGAGGTCAGACGTTTCTTGTAGTTGGCCACCAGGTTTGCACACATGTCAGGAGGGATTTTGTTCCACTCCTCTTTGCAGATCTTCTCCAAGTCATTAAGGTTTCGAGCCTGACGTT